ACCAGTCATCAAAAAGACACATTTTTAACCTCTTAGGACGTTGTAATTCCTACATTTTGGCACATAACCCTCATTTCAAATTGATAATACAAAAAATAAAATAATCAGAACAACAAACTATATATTACGTTTTACTATAAAGGAAAACATATACTTTAGTAAATTTTAAACACGTTATTTTCGGAAACTACAATTATCAGTGTCATCTCTCAAGAGACAAAAAAGTCGCTTTTCTTTTGATTCAGACAAAATTAAAATTTTAAAAATATTGAAAAAATAATATTGTAGTTTGAAATTTGTATTTTCTTTTTTAACCAACTTAGTTTACTAGTAGCTACTAGTTTTATATCAAGATTCCACTACTAAAATTTTTCCAGCTATACGCGAGTTTCAGATTTATTCGATTTGGTCCTGGCGTTTGGGTCTGTCCCGCCAAATTTGATAAGAAAGATAACTGAAATTTTATTTGACGGATCCGCGCATGTAAAATAACTTTTTCTGCATCCATCCGAAAATTAAATTTTAAATCAGTCCCTAAACAAAGCAAAAGTCCGACGTGCTGTCAGCTCCACATGTTCCTGATGAAATTTTCTAAAGTGAACCGTTATGTATTATAAAACAAAGTAAATTTATCAAATTAGGGTGGGCGACATGTGAGAGTAACAGGTTGGTGTTCAAAGGGCTGACAAAAACCAGTTGCGGAAATTAGGGACCGTGCTTAAAAGATTTGCACTTAATCGCGACTGTGTCATTACTTTTAGAATATTTTTATTTCGTGTGTTTGCACGATCGATAATGCAATTTGCTTTAAATGAATGAGTTTTATTTTTCCATTACATTCAAAGTTGGCAGTAAACGTTGAGGGTTATTATGACTCGGTGAATGCGAATAATGGATTAAACTTTGGGTTTGTTTTTCATAAAATTGTTATTTCCGTGCAAAAAAATCATTGTTTTCAATCAAGCTTTTGTTTTAAATAATATTCAGCTTCCCAAAAATTGCGTCGAGCACATTTCAAATTTTGTGCTAATTGAATATTTCAGTTTATCTCTTGTAGACAAGCGGGATTTTATTCTAGATCGGCCACAGGATAAAATCGCAAACATGGCACAAATCACGACACACAATAGAATGATTTTCTATCAAACTCATTTATCAGACGACAAAAACGTTGCCAAAGCGATTTTAATTTAATAAACGCACATCCACAAAATATTTTGCGTTTAAAATTCAATTTACAAAAAACATTAACAAAATAAGACACTCCGAACAATTTGAAGTCTTTTGAAAGCTCAATTTTTGGCAATGACTAAAACAATTAAATTTTCAAAATAAGCTTTTTCAAGACAGTTTTGACAGCCAAAGGTGTTACAGGTCAGGCATTTTGATCGCTTTTGGGACGTTTCTTAATTAAGTGTTCTTTCAAGAAATAAGCTTATTTGTCTTGAGTACAATAGAAAACTGTAAAGACAAAAGCATGCAGTGTTTCAGAATCTGGCAAATGTGAGTCTACGTCTAGTCAAGCAAAGAAGTTGAAACTTTTTATTTTTTGATTTATGAATGACTGTTTGGTAGTTGATTATCCAACTAGTGTGCTCATGGAAAATGTATAAACGCGAAGAGTTTTTTAATTTGGTTTGGGCCATCTATAAATCAGGTTTGGTTCTCGCTTGTCGGCCCTCAGGCTCGATGGACCAATGTGTTCATTTCTGGCGTCCTCCCATGATATTTATGAAAGCTTTTTACTGTTCATGATTAACACTAATGAAGTATTCATCTATACTGATGGATTTTATGTTTGAACATCCACAAGTTTATAATTTACATTCAAATTATGTTCTCATCTATAATATACATATATTAAAAATAGACAAGTTATTAATTTAACACGCGCTAAGCGCGCTTTAAAGCCGAATTAATAATTAACAATCAGTTTGAAAGCAGATTAGCACTCCATTAAGCACAGAAGACACATCCATCACACTCACGTTTCTTACTAGTACCTTTTATTGCGCATTATTTGAGTTTTTGCCGATAACTTTGCTGATTTATAGACGGTGAACATTGTGCACGCCGGTCCCACGAGAGAAGAAATAACGGAAACTACAATGAATATAATCTAATGCGTTCTCTGTACCGACAACATATGTTTTCTGCCGCTGATTTATGCGAAAAATGTGCAAATGCCTTTGCTTTTCCACCACTATAACCAGAATTTATCGCGGAATGCGACCAACAAAACTATTATTTTCAACGGATGAAACTGCATGTGGGAACGGGATTCACCTGATAATCGGAATATATACGACTCAAAGCACCTCCTTGGAGTTTTAGCGATATTTACGGACAAGAAGTCTGCACAAAAGTAGCGACTTTTTCAAACAATCAAAACAGAAATCGTAAAATGAAATTTTGAAATCAACAATATTTTTTCCTTTTTTTGATTTAATTATAAATTTGTGTGTTTGGTACCTATCTAACTGCAGAAAACAGAAATTCCAGTCAGTGTAATTCAGTGATGCAGCGAGGGGGGGTTTTGGGGTTAACAACCAAATTAAACATTGGAATTTTGTATACAATTATTTTCGATGTTGTCATAATTTCCGAAGATTCACAAATTTTTCCTTTTTTTATTTTGTAAATTGAGCAAAACTGTACCTCTAACGTTATAATGTTTTTTATGCATAACATACAATCTACGTAAAATGTTCCACGGCATGGATTGGCGTCAAGAAATCTCCAAAATTCTTGATCGTTTGGAAGTTATAGTTGAATTAATATGTTAGATAATTTTGACTCTAGCAATTTTCTCCATAACTATTTAAAGTAGGACAATTAAAGAGTGGAAGTTACAAAGAAGCTAAGTACCAAATTTTTACTTCTTGAGATATTATCTTGACATAGTGATATGTACATACCATGCTGCTTGTCCCTGCCAAAGCTCCATATGCCATCTCAATTTTTAAGCCTGTCATATTCATTAAAAAAAATATTCACCAAATAAATTTGATTACGTTTTTATTAAATAACTCAAAAACAGCGTTTTAGGACTTAGCTACTTTGTAACTTCCGCTCTTTATCTTTTTTGTACTGGGTGGAACGTCGATTAGGCGCAGAAAAGAAATCCCCAATAAATCCCACAATAATTTTGTTGAAATTTTTCACACTTATTTAGGCATTGATAGGTAGATTTCATAATTTTTTGGTAATTTTTTATTTACAAACAAAGCCAAAAAAAAATGAAAAAATATTTTCGCCCAAAAAACTGACTTACGCAGCTTCACTTCCTGTAATTGTTTACAAAATCAGAAAAAAATACCAATTAGATTTTGAATTAAAGTGTTACCTAATAGTGTTATAAGTAGTTATAATGTGTGTATAAGTAAACAAAAGGTAAGTTAAAAGAAACACATATAAAGAAAAGGTAAGTTTTATAATAAAAATAAAAGAATAATTTTTCTTATTAATTACTATTATTAATAATAATTAATAAATGTAAAAGATAAGAGCTGAGCACCAGAGCTTTGAAACATGTATACAATGCTTCAGGCATCAATTTAATTAAAACAACCGCCTCTTTTGCAAGAAAATTTTTTTGAATGTGTAAAAACTACTGTAGATTTTTAATAGTTCACGAATAATCGATTGACCAAAAGGCTCCGAAAAATCTCATCCAAGAACACTTTATTTGTTCTTGATGTGACATTTTCGAATTAGAATTGCACAATAGGGCAGTCTGTTGTGCAGTGAAATAAATCAGTGATGTTGCCAAAATAACACCAATAAAATATCGTATAATGTATGAGCAAGCCATTAAATGGATTTGGGTGTTGAACGTGTTTTAAGAAGATAATTAGAAAATATGGGAAGCAAAATACAAAATGGCGTACATTTTAATTTAAACGTCTACAACTAAGACACATTTATCATATTAAAAGTTAATTTATATTTGCTCAGCAAACCTCTGAGAGGTGTTTCTGTTTCGTAGAGAGTGCGAGGCGTTCGGCGACCATCAAGATGTCGCTAAGTTTCCTCACAATTTGCTTATTAATATTTGCCAGCACTAAACAGTTTAGCATGTAAATCACATCGTACTCCGAGCTTGAATATTCATATTAAACGCACTTCGCATACACACTGCCATATTTGCATCTCTATTGTTCTAATCAACCAATAAATTTAATTAATCGCACTCGGAAAAATAGAAAAGAAGATTAATCGTTTCGATTTAAAAAGATTGCTAATTTTCCGGCCGATTAAAGGCAAATATCAGGTGAACCAACACATGACAAGTTGCGGGAACTTTTCCGGCGACGTCTTTCGCCGTGAATTGTAAAAAATTGGAGGCGTGGATCAAGTCAGAAGAGCGACGCCGTGACAAATCGAGTCATCTGCTTGGAGACAGCTGAACCCCTCGACTTCATCTGTTTTCATCTTCTGTGCTACTCTTGGTTTCATGGATTGCTTATTTTCTACTTCCTGCCATAATTTATGCATGAGCTCAAATGGTCTTGAATTTCAAATTAAACTAAGTGCGCTTTTTCAATTTTACGCCGACGGAACACACCCCAAGTGCACTTTTTTCACCTCAAAGCAGACAATTAGCCCAAAACGTGGCCTCACTGGACATAAAAAAGGTTTACTATTCAGTTCCCAATTGACATAATTAATTTAGTAATTATAAATTAAAATTATATTACATTTCATAAGAGCAGTCTTAAGGCACGAATTCAAGTCTAAAAAACGGAGTGACAAAGCCACGAGTTATTTTAAAAAATGAGTGTTTCAAAGTCTTATGAAACGATTTCTTTTATAATTTGCTCTCTAATTTTAAATGATTTAGTCGCTTTTAAGACGTCGCGTGATTTAATATGTCTATTAGAGAATCAAAATGAGGGCAAATTACAAAAAAAAACATTTTATTATTTTTCTTTCTAAAAAACGAATTTACATAATGATCTATTATAGAGTTAGAATGTTAGAATTAATAAAACACTGTAATCGGTTATCTGCTTTATTTCAATACAATTAAGTTAAACGTTATATAAAACTCTTGCAACAAAAATATGGTTGTTTTCACAAATTTTAGGCTGGAATGGTTGAAACTGAGGGACCATACTGTTTACAAATCCTTGAAAATTCGCTTTCTTTCTGTTTCAAGTCTCTAATGTACGGATGATCTGGCTGGGCATCTTTCAACTGAGACAAATACCTACTTGCAATCTAAAAAAAAAATCAAAAAATGCTAAAAACAACAAGAAAATTACCTCAGGTGTTTTCCCTGTGTGTTTATGTAAAACAATAAGGTTTATTAAAGTATCTGAATAATTAGCGTCTTTGTCTAAAGCCTCCTGTAGGGCACTTTCAGCCTCCTCGTATTTCCCTTGGCCTATTAAAGCTACAGCTTGTCCATTAAGTAACAAAGGTGTAGCCCCATATTTTTCAACCAACTCTTGGTAGATGTAGTAGGCATCTTGCAACTTTTCCCCACCCTTAAAAAAATATTAGCGGTGAATTAACAAAAAAAAATTCCAACGTACACTAGCGTTATTGACCCAAGCTTGTGCCAACTGTGTTAACGTAGCATCGTCGTCTTTCTCCTGCATTTCCTTCAACTTCTTTCTGGCTAAATCCACGCGATCAATCTTTAGCAAAATATCAATAATAAAAGCCAAAGCTTCCAAGCTTTCAGACGTGTGCAAAACACGAAACGCCGCTTCGAGATTATTCTGATTGACATAAATTGTTGCTGCAACTAGTGCAAGGATGTCGCTTTCAACGTTGGCGGCCAGTTTTTGGTCAATTTGGGAGACGATAGATTCGCGTTTTTGTTTGGAGGATAAATATTCAGCGAGAAGTCTTAAAGGTTGTATTTCCTCGGGTGATGATGGCTTGATTTCGTCGAGTACAACCAGGAATTTGTTTTGGGCCATGTAGGAGCGGTAGGTGAAAATGTCGCGTTGGGTCGCCACCTCGGGGGTCGACGGCTAGAAAAAAAAATTACGCAACTTGAGTATATAATACTTGTAAATACCTTGCGTAGTTTTTGTGCCTCATTTATGCATTGTTGATAATTTCCGATGTAAAAGAAGTTTTTTATTTCGAATAATTCGTCATCGTGTTGTTGACGCGACATCTTAAATGTCAAACTAACATAGACATAACCTAAAACCTAAAATGTGTTTTGTTGGCGGTCCTGACACTAAATAATTTCGAATTGCTTTAATTAAACGTACACAAAAATTTATATTTCTCTACACTCAAGTTTTGCATTAAAGTTTTATATAAACCAAAATTAAAAACAGTTAAAATGCATGTATAACAAATAAAAACTTTGGTCTGGCTGGTGATTTATTTTTCTGAGGTTGGTCGCAATAGGTGTCATATTTGATGCACAATTTGACGTTACAACTAAAAGAGGAATTCAAAAAGTTATTCGTTTTAATTAAAAAACAATCTTCAATTTTCTTGGTGATATTACGTGCTTCTCAATTTGTTTAGCTTTTTCCATAAGCTTTTAGCAAGAATTTTGCACCGTTGTAAGGTATTGTATAAGGTCCAATAATAAAAAAATTGTTGAGATTTTTTATTTTGTATAAAAGTCTTCACTTAATAATTTTTATTTATTTATACAGAAATGACAACGCCGTTGGTTAAATTTCGTGTATATGAAACAACACTCCATGAGAAGCTTTTTACAAACATCAAGATTTTAACCCATGTTTATCCACCAAGTAAAGACTTTAATGAAGTTTTCAAGGTGGATATGTTTAAGAAGAATAACAAGGCTGCTTTTCAACAAGTTATCTACTACCTTTTTACTGTCCTGGACCCTGAATTAACGAAGGAAAAGATAAAATCGTGGCCGACATATGACGCCAAAGGAGACAGAGAATTTAGACAAGAAGTTTTATCATTTATTGATCACATAAACGAAAAATATGAAAGTGTTGATATTCCTAAGTTGATGCCTTCTCTGCTTGTTTCACCTGGCGGCATAAAAATTGTAAAATTTATGCTGAAAATGTCAATACTAGTCACTTATGCACATTTAAAAAGGAACAAGGAACAAACAGATTTACTAGCACCTATCAGGTCTTCTAAAGATCCAGCTATTACTGAAACAATAATACAACAAATTAATAGAACATCATCAATCGTAGAGAAAAGAACTTTTGAAAATTACAACAATTTCCACAAATTCCATGCAGAGGCATTAGTGGAAGCTAATAGAATTGTGGAACAACAGGAGAAAATTGAGAAGGAATTAGCGGAAGTCAATAAGGCGATAGAAGAAGAAAAAAAGAAAAATATCAAACCCGTTGGTGTCGAAAATGTGAAAGACTTGCAACAACAAATGACAAACTTGGAAAATATTAAACGCATGTGTGAACGAGCAAAAGAGCTTCTAGAATGTGTTTCAGGTGGTAAACAAGTTCTGGAATTTTATAAAGAAAATATTAATCCTGACAGGATTAAACCTTTAATTCAAACTGATAACTTGAACTTGCTGCAATTTTGTAATGGCTTAAATGACCGCCTTAGCAAGGAACATTTACGAATGCCAGCTTTTTCAAAGGAAGATCTGAAGGACATGATTCAATTCTTATCAGGGCTTACAGAAAAATATAAACAACTTAATTTAGTTTAAGAAGAAATTGGAAGAATTCTAGAAAAAATCTAGTAAATAAACTGCTAAGAATAAGTCATTTTTAATGTACATTTTGCAAGTTTCATTTTTTGTACTTTAAAAATGTAAAAAATAAATATTATGTAATTACCATTGTTGTTGTTTTATTCAATCCAATTACGTGATTATCAGGATGTGCATGGAGTAAAAACAAGTTTTCCAACCATCTATTCTTATTAAATTTGTTTTTTCCAATGTCAAGGATAGGATTTTAACTACCTTCATTACTTCTAATTGTTTACTATTAAAAGGAATTGCAACAACCATAAATTGCTATCAGGTAAATCTGCAGAATATGGGACTAAAATCGTGATCTTAAAATTTGTTTTAACGTTTTTTTTTTTAATTTGAGATTATGCGTAACCAGAAATTTGGAAATTATGATGTTTTTACTTTACAGAAAAATAAAAACCTGAAACTATGAACGTACATTGTGTTAAACTGTTTTAATTCCGGCATCACATCTCAAAGTCCAAGCCGCATTTGTTGCATCTTGTGTACAAATACGTATCAGATTGATAAAAATAAATCACTAGAACCAATATTTAACATAATTGTCTTCTTACATAATACAACTTACAAAATAATTATTAAGTATTTTGCATTTAGTAAAAGTCATAAAACACTATAAATAAAATCGTTACGTAATTTAACTTACAATTGCGTTCAGGAGATAAACGAGACTCAAATATGAAATAAACATCACATTTAATAATAAAAAATCAATGAGTACAAAAAATTATTTGGAGTGTTTCTTAATAACTGCCAAAACATCCTCTACATCCTCCTTCGAGCCCAAGAAAATCGGACACCTCTGATGCAAGCTCGTGGGTTGCACATCCAAAATCGGGATTTTTCCATTGGAAGCCAACCCTCCTGCTTGAGTCATAATAAAAGCCATGGGAATGCATTCGTACAACAACCGCAACTGCAATAGCCCAAAAATCACCTAAAATTTACCTCAACTATGCTCATACCTTTCCATTCGGGGAATCCTTCGTCGCAGGATATATAAAAATCCCCCCGTATTTAATTGTCCGGTGTACATCAGCGACCATCGATCCCACATATCGCGCATTGTACGGTTTTCCCTTCGTTGGGTCTTTCTTATTATTGACATATTCCTTCACCGCGTCATCCCATTGATAGGTGTACCCCTCATTGATGGCGTAGATTTTACCCCGTTTCGGAATTGTCATGTTTTTATCAGTGAGAATAAACTCGCCCACGGACGGGTCCAGCATGAAGCCGTGGACGCCGTTCCCGACGGAGATTACCATCATGGTTGCGCTGCCATAAAGGGCGTACCCAGCAGCAACAACTTGGTTACCGGGCTGGAGGGCGTCTTTCATAGATGGGATTGAGTTATCTGTTTTTTTCATTATTGCGAAAATTGAACCGATTGAGACGAGACAGTCGATGTTAGAGGAGCCGTCCAGGGGGTCAAATGCCACGATGTATTTGCCCCTTTTATCAGTTTCAATCTAAAATCTAAAAACATAAACACAAAAACATAATTTTTGCCTTGACCCACCTCAATTACAGTCTCGTTTTCCTCAGAAATTAGCAGAGCAACTGTATATGAAGAGGATAACATGTTGATGAAGAGCTCGTTGGCAAGACAGTCGAGTTTCTTCACCTCTTCACCTTGCACATTTGTGTGACCAACAGTACCAAACCTAAACTCTTTACATTAAGACTTATTTAAAATAAAAATTGTCAATAACTTACAATTTTGTGATTCCGGCCCTTCGTACAGCACTACTGATGACTTTAACAGCAGTTTGGATTGAGTTCAAGAGTTGGGTGAGCTCACCAGTAGCATGGGGTGCGTTTTTCTGTTCTGACAACACATATCGTGTCAAAGTGATGCAATTCGAGTCTAAAGCCGGCGAAGTTGTCATTGTGAAGGCTTTTTACAATGACTGAGTCAATCCGTTGAATGTTTTAGTATTTATAAGATGACCTTTGAAACGGGTTTGATAAAAGCAAAACACGTATACCAAACATATTTATGTTTTCTCCTTGTTTATCTATATATAGTAAGATAAGGGAATAATATCTAGCTGTAGCGGAGATTAGGTAATAATCCTGTTTGTGATTTTTAGGGATTTAAATGGGATTATAAAATGCTATCTTGGAGAATTTATTAAAGCTAAATAATAATGAGGTTTATTCATTTTCAAGAACAAGAGAGTGTTAATTGATTGATTCAAGATAAGTCATATGAGTGTTGACAAGTTTTTAAAAGAAATAAAGAAAAAATAATTTTATAACCAAAAGTAAAGTTATATTATTTACTACTCAAATAAGTAAAGAGTAGAGAGAGGTCTCTGCAAAATTTTATTCCTACTTCAAGCATTGGAAAGCAGAGGGCAGTCAAATGCACTTTCCTTTGCGCAAAATACTTCACCTATGCCCTAGTTTTTCTATTCAAATCTTCATTCATAATCAACAAAAACGCTTGGCTGTTTTAAGTGCATGCTATGTTAATGAGGAAAGCAATTAATTTTTTAATCGCAGAATTCTTATTTTCAACTCAATTACATGGTCACTCGTTCACCAACAAAGCAGATATTGATCTTGAAATGCAGCAATTCAAAGTTTTTCATTCTTTATGTGGTGTCATACAGTTTATACAAAGAGGAAGTAATTAAATTTAATTGAATTGGGCTTAATTGGCACTTTGGACTTAATTTAGAAAAGAAAAAAGGAAAAAAAGAGTGCATATACAAAACTTTGCTTCCAGATATTTTATTATTTTTAAATTTATAAATTATATATTTAAAGGCCAGTCTGGAAATGAGAACCATCAGCTGTCGCATTATGTTGTATGAATCCCGGCTGAATTCTCCTGTTTTTTTTTATTTTTTTGTTAGTAATTGGAAGTAAATCTTCTTTCTTAAATCTTTTACTTATTGTGTGATCGATAATGTTTGTCGGAAGTTGTTATTTTTGGGCATTGATTTAATGCGAATTCGAATGAAAGAGCTAAAATTGAAAGAACCCCGAACAAAACGGGGTGGAAGTGGGGCGCAATGCGCAAGCAAGCCGGGTGCAGTGAAGATCGATGCTCGCCGCCGCCCGACGTCGGTCTGGGTCGCTCTCGGTCGTTCACCTGCTTCATCCATCCCCAAAACCACCCCCAACATACTACGCTAAAGAACGCAGTGTTGCACGAAATGACGACGACACCACGAGCGCTTCCGCATTCGTGTATACTTATTTCCTGAACGGTGATTAGAAAAGGGGCGAGGGATGGAAGGGGGCTAAATTCGAGAAAAAATTATTCAGTATTTGCATAACTTATTTTGCTCAGAACAGTATCTGAATTGTATAGAAAGATCAGAAAATGAGATTTGAAAAACAAAATTGAAACAATATCATCTAATAGAATGAAAATTTGCTTAGGAAAAACTGAGAAAGAATTATTTTTATTATTTTTAATAAGGCTTGGTTTTGAAGAATAGTTTGAAAAAATAAATAGAACTTGAATAATACTTTCTCAAGTTTAAATCGTAAATTGAAAAGTTAATTCCTAGCTGCTGAACTTGATTCAAATACTTAAAACACTGATTTTTTTAAGTGTTTGAAAATTCGAAGTAGACAAAAGCGAGATTTGTAGTTAAAACTTGACCAGAAAAGTCGTAAGTATCTGAGTGGTCATATGAGAAGCAGATTTGACCCGTATTTAAGGCCATTCTGTTCAAACTATAATCTGAATCAATCTACCGCAAAAATTAAACAGCAGAATTTTTATTTTTATATCTGTCATAAAATTCATGCAGCATGCTTTAATGTTTTCCGAATGGCTGACACCCATTTTTCATTCTCTTCCCATTATCCTCCTGATAAGCCAAATCCACAACTCCCCTCGCCATTTTTTGCGTATTTGCATTTCCGGGTGTCGATTCCGGGTAGTGCGTAGCTGTCGTTTCCGCTGAAACGTAGTGCAGCAGCCCGGACAAGGTAAGGGTAGTAACCTTCCGTGCAAGCAGGCGGATACATGTCCGATGATTACACGTTGTACCCTTTCCACGTTGCATTTCCAACACAATCCGACAATATTACTATTTTAGAAAAAAAGACATCCATAACGCATTTTTCTGGATGATGATAATATGACCAGAGTAAATGGAAATGTCATAGAATCCGCATCAAGGACTTGTATGAGATTTCAGCCTTATTAAAATTCAATTATGGAGGCGGCACGAAATGCAATTAATTGAGAGAGAAGAAGGGGATTTTTAAAAAGTTGCGGTTATCTAGTGAGGTATTTTTGATGTCTTTTATGATAAATGAGCGGAAAGTAGAAAGCCTTTTGACGTTTTCTTTGAAAAGTTCAACTTATTTATTTTCTTAAAATATTGTAATGGAATTCACAACGGAAGAACTTGAGTTTTCTTTCCGTTTCATTTGAATGCAAATGTAAATTAAATCGTCTTGAGTAAATTTCATAAAAAAGAGTCTTATTAGGTGTTGTGGAAGCCATGAGAAAAAAATTTGCGGAAATGGTCATAAATCGTAAAGTCATCAGAGTAGAAATGATCGTTTTAACTATATTTTGCTCAACTAAATGGTGCGATATTACATTTTGGAAGCGCATTAGGGAGTTAGTCCCATCTGTAGGAACGCACCAGGTGCGATATGGTCCATAATTCACACTCCCTTCTCACTTTAATTACTCTATACACTCATTAAGTCAAGCAATTAAAACTGTACAACAGCTTTGTTCCGACATAACTGCCCATTTGACACTTTGTTGCAAACTATAAAAATCGATAAAAACGATTTTTATGAATTGGCTAAAGGGTCAGCTAGTAAATAATAATCAAAAAAATTACAAAGATTGGGTCCAGTGATTCAAGTTTTATTCGGCGTTGAATAAAACAGTACCCTTATATTTTCACGGGTTTTCTTTTATCACTCCTTTATTTTTATACAGCCGTTTGCATTGTATCTAATTTGATTCGGTTGGCATTTCCGTTTTCTAAATCTTCCACGATGCACAAAAAATAAATGTGTTCACGTTTAGTGAATCTAAATAAAATATCTTACACTCGATACCCTTCGAGAACTTAAGACATTAACAATTGAGGTAGTTAAGAGTAAATTGCAGAAACGAGAAACATCAATCAATGTCTGCAGCAGGAACGAAAACAATACATGTTTTTGGGAAAATCCAGCAGGAAAGGAAAGTTATTTTCGCTGGTTTACGGCTAGTAATTAGCAAGGGTTGGATACAAAAGATAATGTAGTAGGAAAAGCAATTTTAAAATATCGCTTCGGACTACAATCACGCAGAAATCGAATCAAAGGGATTTCTTTAAAAATATTAAATACTTTCGAGGAATTTTTCCTTCCAAAGTAACCATCAAGCACACCTAAATATTGACGTTAAGAAAACTAAAAAGCCGTTTTTATTGTACGTATTATGATTTAAAGTGGTTGCCTATATAAATATTTGAATATTTCGCATACCTCTCTTGGGACCAATTTCGTCGAGTAGAAGGTTAGGCAAGACGTGTAAAGATGTCTTCCCCTCTATACACGAAACTGGAATACGTGAAAGGGAAGTACCGCAGTAATAAAAAGGAGAACAATGTTGCCGAGGAAATTGCGCTTATCTGTAGCAAATCGATACAAACTCGAGAATTTTTTCCCGAAATTTGAACTAATCCGAAAATATGCAAAATAAAGTCTAGTTCCCAATAGTGCAGTCTTTCATCAATCATCCCGTTTTTTATGACCCAGTTTATTGCTTTAATTTGTTCGCCGACAAGATATGTCTGATAAGGAAAACAGCAACGGCCTTGTAAAATCCTACACACCCTATTTCACGCCACGATTGCGCCATTTTTGTCGCGTATCCCCCGTGCTAATTGCGTAAACGGCTTTTTTACGACGGATTTTGATCCATCCGAGTGCAATAATTCCTCAAAACGTTGTCTTATTGGACGCAGTCTCGCAGGAATCCATGGTGTGAGGCGACCTTGTGTTCCTGCGGTACCCAGCTGGATTCCATAGCAACCCTGACTCGACGAGATAACGTCAAAACAGACAGTTGGGCTGCAAATAGAAGCTAAAGGATGGTGGTGATTTTTTACACGTTTTTCAGTGGCGAACAAATAAATAATCAGGGGAAAAAACAAGATAAATACAATACTTAAGATCAGTTAGTTTATTATTTCAGATTCCAGCTTATAACATGAATTACTTTCCAGATTTGATTTTAAAATCTCAAATTATAGATATACAAGGTGATTCACGAGGAATAATGAGCCTGACCAAATTCTCGATGCAACCACCATTACTCTTCGCAAGTTATTTTGCGACAACTGTAATGTTGGTTGCATCCAAAAATTTGGTCAGGCTCATTATTCCTCGTGAATCACCCTGTAGATTTGTTTCGTATAAATGTTCCTGCTGAAAATTAACTTAAATTAAACAGAAAGGACACAACTGGAATCAGGCTCAGTTCAAAGCTTGATCGATTTTCTCGTAAGGAAATTAAACATTATTTTCTCAGATTTAAAATTACATTATTTGTATCAAAAACACACGCGTATTATAAATTGTGGTTCGTTCACAACTCACTCATATCACTGCCAACTATGACGCCAAATTTTAATAAACACCTGTTATAAATTCACACATCATATTTAGAAAATAATATTATTTGTGGAATTTTAGCAAAATGACTGTTAAACGTTAAATGTTAAAATACCATAAAACGTGTTATTAGAACAAATATGTAAAATCACTTTTTGTTGAACAGGTGATAGAATATTCATATGTAAGACAAAAGTTTTATATGAACATGATGTTATGTAAGCGAGCTACACTCCTTGAAAGAGATGCGTTTTTTAATGGGGTTTTCCTTCTGTTGTAGAACAAAAGTTGGTACAGCTGATAACAGACATGAACGAATTTGAAGATCAGCTGCGGAAATTTTTAACCACGGGCGTTTTAAACGG